TGATTCTATGATTCTGTGATTCTAAGTGAAAGTTCCAACTTGCTTCATAGCATTAAAATGGTTGTATGCCCATTCTGTTAGATCCTAACATCTTTCAAACCATTTCTACCTTTGCTATGCTTGCTCTCCTGGATTTAATATGTATGGGTATTAAAAGTGTTGCACCCATTGCAGCTCTCCTCCTCTCTGTACTTATTTAGAGGGATATTTCAAAGCAGGTTCCTTGCAATAATATACTCATAAACACACATAACTGGATGACGTGGAGAGAAGAGTTCTGCTGTTCCTCAGGGAAAGTGATAAGGATACAGCTCAGGTGCATACGTTAATGACAAATCAAGTATTGATTTTTTTATTATTAGTCAGGAAAAGAGGAAAGGATTCTTTGGTTTCGATGAAGCCAACAAACAAATTGTATTATTCAGCTCTTCAATCAGAAAAATAAATCCAATCCTAGCCTCATGGAATCTTAAAACAATCAATTTCTTAAAGCCGCAAATGAAAAGGTGCTTACCAAAGTGTTTATGCAATGGGAATTTGGAACGCAGAGTCCAAGTCCACCACTCTGACATTCATCAATATCTAAGCAGACCTAGCAATAAAACAAATCAACATGTAATAAAAACAATGTCAATTTCAGATCCAAGTCTGAAGAAAAGCCACTGAAGTTTAAGTCTAGAAAAGAGTCACAGCCTCTCCTGAAACCGCTCTCACAATGGCACAGACATACACATAAACTAACTTTCCAATGGATCTCCAGACAGATATAAATCCTGAAGAGACACTGTGATACAGTAAATTTCAACCTTAGGATGGCTTCTGGTTCGCACCAAGAGTTTAGACAAGAACTATATTCCCCTTGTAGGGCGTGACATGAACATGCGAAACGTGACAGTAGAACAGGCCTTTTCTATCATACTCCTCCTAGTTCAAAGCCAGTTTAGAGAACTCAACAGAGCCCCCTTTAAAACTGATCAGTGATACCTATGAAAATAATGACATTTTTTCTTGTCTCCATACCAGTCCTGAGTATTAGATTGTTAATACTTCCATTAAAGCCAAGTAAACACAACTCGGATCTTCTAATTGAAACACTCTGAGCTCTGCCTAACTGCACAAGGCAATTATGGAATGACTGAAGTATAAATAAAACGTGATACAGATGCATTGACATTAACCAGCACCTTGCAACGGCGGTTGCCACAGAGATGCTGCCACTCACCTGCTTATTGCTCTTGGCATAGCTGAGTCCTATCCCTTGCACAGTTTGTCCTGTATATCCTGGGGGACAGGTCTCGCATCGGAAACCTGGAGCAGTGTTCACACATCGCACTCCAGGGAAGCAAGGGTTGTAACGACACTGCAAAGAAAAAAGTGAACCGAGCACACGTTCACGCTTCAGTAACATCCAGACTCTGACTACGTGCACAGACCTCTCAGTCAAAGGCAATGCTACATGCAGTGTCTGTATGTCTTCTGTTCAGAGCTGGCTTACAGAGGAAACAGTCTCTGCAGGTACTTCTAACTCCAGTAGGTCGTCAGCTATCTCTGTAATTTAAGTAACATTTGCAATCTTCCATTATAGCCCTAAGCTCTCATCCCCAATCCTTCCTTTTGCTGGACAGGTTCAACTCCCTCGGAGGCTGAGAGCCCCCTGCAAGGGTCCAGACCACAGCATCAGGAAAGCCGCGTAACTCCAACCCACCAAATGGTCCTGCAGTTGTGTTTTGCACACACAGAAGTGGCAGCAGCATTTTCCCTCATTTATATTTGGGTAAATCTCATAGCCAGAAGTAACCCAAACATAAGCCAGATGAGCAGGGATATGTCAGTGGCACCCACACATTTCTAGACCAGAGGCCCACAGACAACTCTTAGCACTTCTCCCAAAATACCACATGCCCACAGCATCACCCGTGGCCTGAAGGCACCATTCGCTTCATTGCCTCACAAGGTTTTTTTTTAACACAACAGCTGTCATCCATTTCACTGGCCTTGTGGGTGCCAGTTTGGGAACCACATCCTGCAGTGCTGCCTCTCCAACATCAACACTAGCTGCTAGGTAATATTTGTAAGAGTACCGAAAACATCAACGTGCCATCATGATGCGTATGGCTCAAAGACAACAATAAATAAGAAATGTGAGAAAGAAATATATAAGATTTTTAAAAATACGCCTTTTTTCCCTCCTCCATTGCTAAGAGAAAAACATCTGCAAGATGGAGGGAGAACAAGCCAGAAGATATCCACCTACAACAAACATACGACTTGTAACCAAACGCTCACACAAGGGAGCAAGAAAAGGTATGTTTAATATCAAAGTGTGTTTGACAGAAATGTAAAACCTAGGACAGACATTTTGTGCTCCTTATTTGTTGTGGATTTTTTATTGTAGGCAGCAGAGGGCACTCAAATTACACCGTACACAGAGCAGAGCTGCAGCTCCCAAGACGCAGGGTTTCAGCATATGAAAGTAATGTCTTCAAACTGGTAACGAATAAGGGAGCATATTGCAGAGATGCTAACAGCCTCAGAAAAGATGACAGCAGCTCTTAGTGAGGAAGTTTCTAGACCTATCTTTAATCAGAATTTGTACATTAACTTCTTTTTAAATGCCAGTTATTAGAAAGTACAGAAATAGTTTATTCAGTAGAAAGGTGCTCTCCCAGAAGAGATTCCTAAAAAGCTTTCAAAAAAAAAAAAACCCAAACACTTTCCTTCTTAGAGTCAGCTAACTCAGGAAAACAAATAACACATCCCCTCTTATTAGACAATGAAAAGCTATTGCCATTTATTACCTCTTTTTTCCCTCTGCGCAACCATAAGTGAAAATCCAGCTGTTAAAGGAGATATTTACTGGTGAACAAAACCGCACCAGACTAGGTGGCACTTTAGTAGCAGTGTCCACGTAAAGACCTCATTTAAGCAAGACCGTATCTCTATGACACCATTTTGGCAAAATTTCCTCGCTGTTTCTAATGCGAGATCAGGTCTGCCATGTGGAGTGGTGGCAGGAACATGAAGGCACATCAATCTCCAGTGGCAGAGCCTGACTGCTCACAGAAAACCACGTTAATGTTGGGCCACTACAAACCAGTCTCAGTTTGTTTTCCCACCACTGCTGTCACGCGTAGAGTTGCTCCAACCCTGAAAATGGCAGGGAGGAGATTATTGCCATGCTCTGCCTCAGTCTGGGTATGGCTCAGGAGGTGGAACCCATCCGTACTGGTGGGCTCCACCTAAGCTGGCTTGAGTCTCTCACCATGGTTGTCTGTGGCATGAAACTCACACCACAGCTGTCTCAGCTTCACTTCTTGCATTCACATTTCAGAGCTTCACCTCCATTTTTTGCGCCTTCTGTTGCAGCAGACATAGTCTGTGCCATGTGAGGCAAAACAAAAGACATCGCCTACAACTCAGGAAACTGCCACACTCAACCCACTTTCTCTCCACAGTGTTTTTCACAGACAAATATAAGTTGGGCACATCACATCCTCTCTGCTGATGGCCTACAGGAGGGAATAAACCAAAAGAGCAGTCAAAGCACACCTCCTGTTGGCTAGGAAGGAGAAAAAAGGAATTGCTTTTGCTGTTTTACATCATTAGGCAGGTACCTTGGTAGTACTGTGTTATCCACAGGCACAGTTAATGACCTAATTCTCCGGGTTCCCCGGTCTACTACATCCAGGTGCTTTTCCACAAAAATCACTAAAGAGTTATGGCAAAAATCATCACACAGAAAAAATGCAGTGAAGCTCTAAGCGGTTTTGTTGTTTGTGTTCTGAGTAAGTGTCACATTCCAATTAACACAGGTTTTATTTAATTATTTAAGACATTGTAAATTTATTAACTCAGTCCTCAATACAAGCAAGCTCTGAATTTCTAACATATAGCACAAGAAAAAGAAAAAGATTTAAGTCAACATTATCAGCTTTCAACACAACCATAAAGAAGTAAAAGGAACAATAACAATAAATGTTTATTTTCTTTCATAGACTTCTAAGGTAAGGCTGAAAACATTACTCCAGTTTGGGTTGAAGAGAAGACTTTGGTCTCCAAGGCTGGTTCAGGAGCACTATGATTTAAAGAAACAAAGCCCATATTGACAAGAAGTGCTTCTGCAGTTCTGCCTATAACAGAAGCTACTGCATCTTCTTATGGAATAGGAACAACTACAGCAAAAGCTTGTTTTGGTTGTTTTTGAGTTTTTTTCAAACATTAAACTCCTTTAAGTATTTCTCAACTCACCAGGGTATTTCAAGTTTTCACACATACAACCTCCATAAAGTTGCAGCAACAGCAAAATAGGGAAGTAGAATCAAATCATAATGAATTAATATTCACTGTGCAAGCAGTCGGCAAATGCTGAAGATAGCAAGCAGCAGCAACCCATTGATATGTATGAAACAGTTGCTTTTTAGCTTTTTTTTTTGCCCCTCACCCCTTTTTTTTTTTTAAATTCAGTGAAAGTCACTGTTTTACCTCATCAATGTCTGAGCAGGTAATTCCATTTCCCGTGAGCCCTTCAGGGCAGGGACCGCACTGAAATCCTTCTGCTGTCTCCATGCACCTGACTCCCCTGAAGCAGGAATTAACTTCGCATTTGGGTTTACTGCGCCTAGGAAGCTGAGTTGGAAAATTCACAGTTCCCAAACCTTTAATGCAGAAAGAACAACAGTTTCAGCAATTGAAAGAAACATCCATCACGGCTTTCAGCTGGCAAGCACTCTGAAGAGATCCCCAAGACGCTGCGCAGCAGGGGCTTCGTGTTTCTGCATTGCACTGCTATCAGCTGTGCTGTGGCTGAAGAGACTTCATGCTGGGCAGCTTGCTGCGTCCCCAGACAGGGGAAATTAAGGCTCTTTTGTTAGGTCCACACACTTCACCTGGCTACAGATGGGAGCCCTCCTGCTAGGTTAGTCCCACTACAGATCTGTTGTTGGCCAGGGGAGGAAACTCTGAAAGCCAGTGACCTCAGACAGCCAAAGGGACTCAAGTGTGATGGTACAAGACATTTCTCTGGCTAAATCAGCAACACTACCACTTCATAAGAAAAACAGTGCCATGGTTTCACAAGAACGTATCTGACAGTCTACAAATAAGCGAAATAAAGAAACAGCAGCTGGCAGCCCACGAACACGCAGCAGGACATAACAGCAGGACATGCAGCCAGTGCAAATACGCTGGCTTAGGTGTACAGAGACCAGCCCTGGGGAAAACCAAGGTTTTCTGAGACTCTGGCAGGTGCTGAACCTTGGTACTGATGCATGCAGGATTTAAAGACTTTTTCTTTGGCACTTACACATAAAGGTTAACCTGGCTGGAGCTCAGCTTGAGTTTTGATGAGACTGGGAGAAGAAATCAACTAAAAGGCCTGATGAGTTTAAGGCCTTTCGTCCCACCCAGTGAGGGAGTATTTTAGTTTTTATACTGACTGCATGTGTCCCCTGATTGTCAGTGGTGTAGGAGGGCCATGCAGTGGCATTTCGGAAAGCATTTATTTCCTCCATTTAGTGAAAAAATGGAGACCATCTTTTGGGTCTTACTGCTGTTAACCAGTGACTGCCTACTCAGAATCAGACAACTTTCAGATGGACTGCATAGGATCTTCCTTAGACTGACAATACCAGCTAGAGCAGAACATGATTCCTCCCTTGTTCTTCTACTAAGATTGTTCATGAGATACCTGGCAGGCAATGTCTCCCTCCCCAGGAACACATAGCACAGCTTTGTGGCAGAGTGAGAACTGACAGGGGTGAGTGGTACTGCTTGGTTTACTGGGTTTTATCCCCCAGCAAGTGATTGTCAGGTCTATGGAAATGGAAAGCTTTTTCTCTAATGAAAATCTGTTTTAAATTTGTGTCCAATACAGCTAGAACTTTCGACACAGTATTTTTTAAAAAGTACTCCTTAGAAACCACATAAAGCTGATGCAATCAGTACTAGTTTTAAAACGACTGTACATCTCATCTGGTTGCCTTTTACAGGCAATAACTTACCACATGCTTGGCACTCAGCTATGGTATTTCTCAGAAAAGTTGTTTCTTTGACCTTGAGGATATAGAAAATAAACATTATTTGGATACAGGCAGGTCCAGTTTGCACCTGGCTGCCAGAAGAACCATTATCATTTTTCCCCAAGATGCCACTCAAACCATGCAACATAGGTACTCTATCCTAAAATGAGATGCTCTTGGTACTCCATAAAATTAAGGACAGTGATAGTGATAGTGGTTGTACTTCAGTTCGGCCTTCATCAATGGGACCTTTAAGGTCTTTACTAAAGGCATGTGCCACCAGCGATTCCAGTTCTGACACCCACAAGCAAGTGGAACAAATACAATTTCAGTTCTGTGCAACAGACCTACCTCTATCTAACAGTGGGCTAGGATGGCTACTCTAGTTCCTTTCCAGTTAAGACACTAGATTTTCTGGATCTGAATAAGCAAGTCCCCTACACTCCCACATTCGGTGATGCTCCATAGCGAGCACAGGGTACCAGGACTTACATGGTTATTTCTTCTCCACTGTATCATGCCTCTGAGGCAATGAACTCTACACAGGAGTTTATTGCTTATGTGAATTCTGCCCCGACTCTGTCAAAAGTGGCAAGCTTGGGATATTTCACACTGAAGCCTTTACACAGTACCTGTTGTCTGAGAAGGTCTTTCACATCTCCCAGTATTTGGTTCATCTGCATCATCTGACCCATCAGCTGCCTATTAAAATCACCTGCAGGGAAACAGCAATGAAAAAGAGAGCACAATGCTCATAACTCTCCTTCATTTGCCATGACAATTTCTGAGATACAAGATGGAAACACTGTGAAGAGCCAAGGAGGGCAGACATTACTGTTACTTAAGCCCTGTAGGAATCCTTAGAGTAAACACAGTATCTAGCTCCAATTTTTATAGTGTAATTTGCATAAACTCAAGGCTTTTCTGGACTGAACTGCACTGTATACCACAGAAACCAGCAAAACAGAAACCTCTCCACAGAGAGAAAAGCAGCTTGTGATTTTTCTACCATTATTTCAGTGTAAAGGCTCTCTAGTAAGACCTAACAACACTGGTAACTAATGCCGCCAGTGTTACTGGTTCCTCCCCAAGCCTAAGAACAGCAACCCTAAGTGAAACCTTAGGATTTTAAGACTGGGTTTTTGTGATAACCCATTTGGGACAGGAGGGCAAGGCAGGGCATGAAGTACCTGTGCATACAGTGAGAAGTCACCCTCCATAAGTTTATTCCATGTCACCACAACTGATTCCTGCACACTTTTCAAAGTGAAGTTACCCAGCTTTCTGAGCAAGCTAACTCTGCAGCTCCAACCATGCATGAAGAGTGCCTGCTCTGACGAAAATAGCGCTTTTAATACCTGAGACAGTCATTTGGCTTTTCTTCCAAAAGGCAGCTCATCACACTGTACACAAGTTTCATGGCTGCATTTGCTTCTGGAAGGTGCAGAGTTTGTATGGACTCACAAAACATCTACTCAACACGCTATGAACTTATACCAAAGCCAGTTCTCAATAGTAACAAATTAAAGACCTCTAAGACAATACCAAAAGTTACATCTGTAATGAGTCATAGGGAAGGACCAGAACCAACCCAAGATCTTCACATGAGACTTTTAGCTGTTAAATGAAACATTAGTTTTGACCCAGTGACAGAGAAGCAGAGAGCATGTTTAGCACAGTAGCTCATAGCAGTTTCTGTTTGTAACTCACTTCTGAGTTTGTAGCTCTCTGGAGCAGTATTTGCTTACTTCTCTAAGTCTGTATGTCAAAACAAATTTCACAAATATACGCTCTTTTACATTCTAAGCAGGCAGGATATTTTGATATTATGCCCAATGGCTTCAGGGAGGTTTATTCATGTGTTACTTTTTGAGTATTGAAAGCTTATATGAAAAATGCTTTTCTTAATGTTTACCTCATTGTTTTGTACTTCAAAGCATGTCTAACTGTTTCCAACATTCCAGTGGGAATTGTGCAACTCCTCACATACTACGTTTTCTTCACTTCATCAAAACACTGAACAAGTTTAAAGACTCGGGAATCACCTGTTGCAGAACCTGCCTCTGTTCTAGTCCTAACCTTGCCTTATTTTTATTTGGGAGGAAGGCAGCAGGACTTAATATCATGGGTATTTCAGAATCCCATAGTGGAACTTGGCACGCAGGCTGCTGGGACAGATGCTGGGGTCTGGTTTTGTTTTGCTTGGTTTTTTTACACAAAGAATGGTTTAGGCATTATTGATTGAGATCTGCAAAAAATTCTCTAGATTTCAGATGCTGTTTGTCGGCTAGCGTCTAAATCAAAACCAGGTCTATGCCGTACAGCTAAGTTTTGCAGACTGCTAAACTTTAAGGTGGACTAAACAGCTTATACTGCCATGAACTACATGTCCTGTTTGCAAATTTAGACAGCAGAGCAGAAACAGATGACTTCCCATAGTTGTGGTTTTTTTTTTTTTTTCTCTTCCATTTAAAGCCAAGTCCTACGGTAGGCCCCACCTGCAGCAGAATGACTGGTGATCAGTGGTAAGAACTCAAAGAGGCCTTTCAGGAGCTGTTGGTCCACAGTATATTGTGGGTGGCTTTTCCCAGGAGCGAGCAGGGTAAGCTATACAGTTATTTGGTCCTACTATGTAGTCTCTCTCATCCATACCCCACCTATTGAGGCAACTCCCCAGTTCAGCCAGTCCCCAGCTCTATACTCTGAATCAATAACAACCTGAGTAACAGAATAGCTTTCACAGCAATAATTAAATTCAGAGACAGATCTGAAGAATTACTGTTTAACAGGGAACTGAAGTCCCTTGACATGTGTATTCTCTGTAAGCCTGAGGTCATGTCAGGGAGCTACCATGTCTTTCTCTTCCCAGGACCTTGCAGTATAGAATCATAGCATGGCTTGGGTTGGAAGAGACCTTTAAAGATCATCTAGTCCAACCCCTTGCCATAGCAAGGACATGTTTCACTAGGTCAGGTTGCTCAAAGCACTATTCAACTTGACTTTGAACACTTCCAATGATGGGGCATCAACAACTTCTCTGAGCAACCTGTTCCAGTACATGGCCTTGGATTTAGAGCAGGCGACCAACTTCATTACACAGCTAATTGGCCCAGGCAGGGCCAACTTACTAGCACAAACACTAGCTTACGTAATTGCTAGTGAAATGCCTCATAGATACTTCTAGCTCTCTTGGGAGCAATACTGGCTCAAGCACCCCACTTGCCCCCATCTGGCAAAGTCAGAGTCCTGAAGTGTCATTCAAAAAGACTGTTACTTGACCAGAGATCCAGCCATGATTAAAGTATGGATGATGGCTGACAAGAGAACAGTTTCCTGTCAACCTATAATCCTCCACCGAAGAAGCTGCATATACAAGTTGCATGCAGAATTACAAAGAGGCAGGTTCAAAGCAAACAAAAGGAGGTATCTCCTCAGACATGTGATGAATTTCTTGCCAGGAGACATTCTTGATCATGCATTCAAAACTGACTGGACAGATTCACGGAAGGAAACATATATTGAGTACAAAACACAAAGACTGCACCTGTGAATCGAGAGCTATGTATACCATGAACTGCTGGAGAACAGGAAAGCATTCAGGGAAAAGACACACTATAACTCCACTCTCTTACACTCTTGCCCTTGGGTCTATATTGGCATACTGTCTCTAACAGTAGCTAGGTTAAAAGAATCTTTGGTCTGGTGCAACATAGCTTTTTTTTTTTTTTACACTATGTCAGGTTCAGGTACCCTACATGAACTAGATGACCTCCAAAGATCCCTTCTGACCTGAATGATTTTGTGATGATGATTACAGGCAGCATACTAATCTCATCTACCAAACTCAGTGCATCTTGCACTGTATTTTCCTACCCACATGGAAGATCCAAATATACATGTTCAACCTCTGTCTGATCATCATATTCTCATCTACACTGCTTAGCTGTCTCAGCCTCACAGACTGAACACAGTGGGAATCCTGCTGCCATAGCAGTGAGCAATGATCAGGCACACGGTCAAAGCCATGTACAGTTATTCAGGTCCAAACCTCTTCCAAGGATTTTCCAATTAATATGAAAACACATGCTTTTACCAAGATACATAGGTCTCACACCCCTATACAGCTACGCATTTGCATTCCAGCTTTTTCTGGCTGAAGACAAAATTGTGGTTATCTGATATATCGTTCCTGTAAAAGGGCATCATGAAGCATACACAAAGTGCAAGGCAGCTGAGTTAATATTGCTGTTGGAACATCTGCACCTTTTCCTTTGCTGGATTTGACTATGTAGACTTTGAATATATTCATGTGAGTTGTTTTATTATTAATATGATACTAATTCCACTTGAAGGTTATAAGCCACTGAATTTCAGAAGCTCAGCCAGGTGGAGGCAGCCAGAGAGAGACAATATCTCTCTGTATTAGTACCGTTTGTATTACTGATTAATGAGCAAAAAGTTACAAATGAGAAAGCTGCAAGTCTCCAACCTGGAAACCTCGCCCACAGAGCTGTGAGTTTTTCCCGGAAGAAACACTGAATTACCCTTCCCTTCTACGTGCAAATGCCTGTTGATTTAGGGAAAAAAAAGAGACCTTCGATGATAAAACTCTGTATTTTTTTGCCTAGGTGTATATATGTTAAGAAGCAAGAAAACAGAAGCATGTGCAACGGAGGATGTACGTAGCTAAAAGGCAAACAGATTCTGTTATCACTGCACACCACTGACGCCTACATTCATGTAATGTACCCAAAATGCTCTCGTATTAAATTTGTGTTTCTTGTTTCTATTCTAATCAAAAGTAGCAATGCTGCAGGGCTGGGTTTGGTAGGGGGGTCAGGAAAGGGTGCGAGAGAGAGAACTTCTCATGGATCCTATTTCAAACCTTGAACTCACTTTTTTTTCCCCCATGGTTGTCACATATTAACACATTGCACGCACAGTGTGAACCCATTCTTCTCCCTCACACCGGCAGCATAAAGGCAGATCGACGGGGACTAGGAAGGGTACAGATGGGGCAGTCTAGCCCAGGTTTGCTGTGTCGAGAGGTTAGAGAGCACCCTTGCCCATCACAGGGGATTGCACCTACGCCCTGGGGACCTGCAGGAATCCCAGTAGCCTCACCTCCTTCCTTTCCTCTCTGTTCCCAACTCAGTCTCCACAATGCTCAGCACAGGCAGAAAAGGAGTTGGCTTTGGAACAGATTTCCAGCCCAGCAGGTGACAAAAGCCTCAGCTCACTTACAGCAGGACTAATGGCTGCCTTGCAATGGCTTTTCCCACACGGACCCACAGGCTCTGGGGCCATAGCACCAACACGCTCTGCAGTCTTCTGTGTCCTTCTTCACGCCTTGTTCCTCCCCTTTCTGGGACACTCCAGTGATCAACAGAAGCTGAATACTGGCCATGTGGATAAGCACACAGATAGATGGATACACTAGCAAGACCTATCAATTTTCATAAAGCCTGTAGCAGTGTATCGCATTTAGGACTACTTCCTGTCTGCAACTGGAACATTAAAATATTATTAAGCTGACACAAACAGATCATGATCACAAAAGTTTGTCTTCCAAATTAGGCTAAAAAGCCTCTTTTAATATTTACAAACTCCTCCTTCACTAGGACAACAACTCATTGCTTTATCACCAGCAGCAGTGACTGTTTTCTCTCCAAACTGAGCTATTTCTAAAACATTTACAGGAAATTATCATGGCTGTAATTCAGTCAAACAATTGTTATTACTTGTCTATAGAGCTTCTCCACATTTTTAATATTCATCACGTTAGCTTCTTTGCACTGGCATCCTAAGGAACAATTTTATCTTCTGGCTGCAGGCCTTACCGGTGTACTGAGGAATAGGTTCAATTTGTTGAAGAAAACAATCCTGCAGGTTCCCCACTTGGGCAAGTGTTCCTCCAGTTACCAGCTTCAGCTCTTCTAGGGTATCCTGGATTCACAAGAAAAACAGAGCTCACAATTCTGGTACAACAGTGGAAAAAAATGTGAAATATCAGACAAAATAAATTGATTTTTTAGAGAGGTTGTCCATTTCCTAAGCCTGCAGGGCTCCTACACCATCCCCTTCAGGGCCACCCATCACCATCTGAACTGTAATAAAATCCTTAATCTTTGCCTTGCAGATTTTCATAGCTGTGGTTTTATTTTGAACCTTCTTTTACTATTCCAATTCATATGATCTCACATACCAGGAAGTTCACATATTTTTATATCCATGGCATATAAGAATGATTTTTTTTTGTGTGTTGAACTGAAACCAAAGCAGTCTTTTTTCCCCCCTTTCAAAGAGGTTAACATTCATGTCAGGAATGTGGGCACCTTAGTGATTCTCCATATAAACAGGCTCATTTTCAGGCCTGCAATGAAACTAAGCAAGGGGGCAACCTTGAGGGCAGAATGCCTTTGCACCTTCTAATGCATATTTTGGATGATGGAAGATGCTTGTGGAAGATACTGTTTACCTCGGACTGCCGACAGGGAGATGACAGGAACCTATGCCAAGCCCTGGTTGGCACACAGAGGAAGAAAAACTGTTGTGGTCAAACAGATGGGGGTTGGATTCTCGCACCACGTGAGTCCCCCCCTTCTTTCGTCTTTTTAATTCGTGTGGCTTATCATGAAAAGGAAAGCCAGATACACAGCCAAGCGTCGCTCATACTGAACAGCTGTAAGAAGCTGACAAAGAGCTGCCCTTACTGCATCCCTGCGAAAAGTCCAGTCCCCAAGAAACACCTAGACTGAAGTGAAGGAGGCAGGTGTTTTTCTTCTTAATAAACTAAAAGTTGTGTTTAAAACCAATACCATAACTATCACTGGGTTCAATGAAGCTAAGATTTCACGTGTACCACAGGGAACTTACATTTACATTTATTTCACAAGTTAATACTCAAGTATTACTGAAGCACCGTTGTACAGAGCTTGGCTGCTGCGAGGGCTGAGGTCTGGATTCAGTGATCCAGAGAATCCCCGGTGATCCCTCTAAGTGCTCGGCCTGCTCCCAGTTTTCCTGCTCACCTGTGGCTTCTCCTGGAAAGTGTGCAACTCTACTGCCGCCGACCTCTGAGACAGCGCTGAAAATGCTTTTGGCAGGTCCTGAACAGCACCTACTTGCAGGCAGTCCAGATACAACTCTATCGTGCTCGATCCCTGCTGCAGGCCACTCAGCCACAAGATGACAGCATGGGGTTTCCCATCAGCCAGCTGAATGTTGCTAAAGATCACCGAATTCAACCTCCCATCACTCTTCAGATAGCGCAGCACCACTAGTACAAAATACACAGAAGGACTATCAGAGCGTAGCAGATAACCCAAGGCTGATCAAGGAAGATCCCACGGAAATCTGCAATTGCCGTGGTATTTTTCCACATGTCAGCTTTTGTAAATGCATCCCATATGCAGATATAAATGGTAATAATAAACGGGACATTGACTCTCAGAACAGGATTACCAGGACTCTTGCATGACTCCCCATTTGTAAAGCATTGCTGCCTGCACAGTGTTTTCCACTGCTTTGTCCAGGCCTCTCTAACTGGCTTAACCAATGTCACCTTACAGGCCATAACATGCTAAAATACAAGTGGTAGAGATAAAGGGTGTAACGGAAAGCCTGCAGTCAGCACTTTGGCAAGTACATGTCTGATAGACCTAGAAACACTGCAGCAGAAACGTACAACTAGAAAAAATCCGTTTCAGTGATGCACATTTCATTCAGTGAAGCCATCTGACAGTATATCCAAACGCATCATTAAAGGAACCAAAGGAAGCATGATTCCAAGTCAATATCCTGAATTTCTCTGCAACAAACAGTAAGTAAAAACAAAATATAATGCAGAAAAGACATATTCCACCCCTAAAAATGACTAAGCCCCCTCTCAACTCTTTTAAGGCGTTAGTGAATGACCTACTTGATAATTCACACAAATTCTCATTTTATGAAGTAAAATGCACGATCAAAAAACACAACAGCAGACAAACAAAAATTCTTACGCGCTGCGTAATATTGAAAAAATGTCTCTTTCCTACGGAAATTGGATTGGCAAACTAGGATCTGCAAGCTAAATCTCTTAGACCAGCTAGCTAGTTCTCTCCATAAAATCTCTCCCTGGCTCTCTGAATGCGTATCTGCAGAAGCAATGAGCTGCGTGCATCTAGGCAGTGCATAACTACTCTACAATATTAGACAGACCTTGTTTCAAAGATCCCACCGATCACCAGCCTGCATGTCCCTTATTTCCTCATGGTAACAGTTACGTGCATTGAGGAGTCAAGCTGCACAGGCGCCAGGCACCTAAACAGTTAACTGCTGGCTCTGGTGAACATCTGTTTGAAGTTCACAGAGGGCTGCTACTGTTGCATCAAGTGAGAGCTCACAAATACTCTGACCTTCAAGAAACACATATATTAACATGAGGTCAATCAAAAATTGTGGGTATAGTGGAGGGAGAAACTCTTACTAGCTTCAGAGCTAGTAACACCTACTGAACTCATCCCATTTCTAGTCATTTAACAAATTATCTTCCCATCTCTCCACTACTAATGTACCCTCTTTGATGCTGTGATACCTGTTTGTCGGTGACCACCTTAGTTACTGCGTACATGTTCCCTACTATTTTTCTAATTGCTTAGTCTAATGATTAAAATAATCCAGATTAATCCAGATTTATACCAGCATGAACGGGGCAGGGTATGTCTCCATCTTTAAAGGCTACACTAGTGCTAAAGTCCCAGCAGCTGTGATCAATATCAGGAATGTTTTCACTGCTGTCTATGTCAAAACACTGCCAGAGCTGAGATTTCCGCAAAGGTGCATGAGGTCACCAGTAACTTGCTAAAAGGTAGCATTTCTTGGCAAACTCAAAGATCTGGCATGACAGAGTACGTTGCAGACATTTTACTTACGTGAATATTATGCATGCCTGGTCATATGAAAGCAAGGTCTTTGGATCTGGGCCCTGCGTTCAGAGTGACCAAACACAGACTTAAGCTAGAGAAAGAAAGAGGAGATGAGATGGTGGCAGGGCCCAGAACAGACCCTGCCAGAATAGTTTCAGGACAAGGAGCAGTCTGGCTTGGAAACAGGATCAAGTATTCCTTCCTCAGCCAAATATCCATCTGGTAAACTAGAGTAGGCTTTTGAAGGGAGATTTTGCTGGACCACAGCCTCTGTCTCCGAAAGATTTAACTCATGCAAGCCCCTGCATTATGTGTTTGCTGCTAGGATATTCTACACTAACATTCGTGAGAGTAAGTGGCTCACCTGTACTGTTTAAGAAACAGATTTTCAATGAAACTACTAATCCTGCCAGTAAACAGGAACTGCTTCACAGAATTGTTAAGTTACATCACCTTTATGCACTTACTGACGTTTGTTCCCTAGAGGAATCATTCAAAAAGGATAAGAAACCCATGGATGCTATTTGCCTCTGAAAAATACATTGGTCTAACCAAAGCAAGCTGAGCAGTTGCCCAGTAACTCAGATCTGTGCTTTAAAAACATTTAGGCGTTATGAACATTTTACTATCAGGTATATCACAGCAAAACCAAAACATGAGCAAAGCATTTGGAACACAGCTCTCAAATGTGGCACTTCAAAGGATAACTAAGGTCTGCTTTGGGCCACTTAGATCAGATTTGAGTGCATAAGTGGAAGTACCATGCAAAGGAAGCACTATGCACATATGCACCCGTCCAAAACCATAGATACTTAGACGCTGCATTTTGCTAAGATGCCAACGCTGGCTCACCACTTAAGTGATGACCTCCAGTCTTGAGAGCATCACAAACAGCCCCCACGCTCCATACTTTCAGCTCACATGATGATCTCCTGGATGTGGTTTAACTTACTGTATGAAGTAGCCATATGGGACACTTGACACTTCCAGAGAAATCAGATGTAAAAACACCGCCTACTACTCGCACGCTGCCATATGCCTTAAACAAGGTGCACTAAAGTAGTAAGGAGGCAAAGAGACCTCCACGGAAAAGCCTTGCTGCAAAAAGCCGCCCTCTGTTCGATCAGTCCTTTACAACAGGTAGGTTATAGATGTCCCCCATCTGCTCAACACTGGTCACCGACAGGACAAGTTTCTTCATGCTGCTTATCTATATGCCACTGTCCTGTCAGAGACACTTCTCAAATACAACACTAACATCCTGAGGACAAAACCAAAAGAAGCCACGTAACCTTCCACCAGAAAGCCTCTTAAGTCTGTTAGTTAAAGCGTATCAGTAACCATGAGGCATGCAGGTATTCTTGAAAATCAAGAGAAGAGTTTGATATGTTCAAAATTGTATGTATACACACGTATTTGTGTGTATACATATGCATTCCTATATATATGTATAACATTTACACACATAATTGTGTGTGTGTGAGGGAGAGAGGGAGTATGTGTGATCTATCATTTATTTAGCAATTAGGTAAGTCAGCGTTAGGAATTGTATGACACTTACTGATAAGGCTGTGTGACCGCGTCTTACCCACCCCCAACACACACATTGCACAAAAGTTCTTACTCCCCGGCCTCAGGATTTTGGCAGACCTGATAAAACTACCAAAGGTTTATCTAACTCGTTTCCCTAAACTCCCCAAGCAAAAGGTATGCTTTTCTTCACCATATAGAATAATTTTCCTATGTGTAAACTTAAATTTCTCAGTAGAGTTTCTCAGTACATTGGATTCAGCTGCCCAACTACAACATTTGCAGCAGCAAATTGTCATAGCAGTGGTGAAGTCAATGGAGCAACAATAATTTACACCATTCGACAATTTTTTGCTGAACCTTAAAATTGTAATATATCCTAGATCTGGTCTAGAGAGCGATTAAAGCTCTCCATTTCTAAAAGTCTGCTAAAGTTCCTACTCTGACTCCTGATTAACTAATTTCAATAAATGGAGAACAAACACTTGAATTCACCCAGAAGATCCTGTAAATGCTAGGGATGTTTGTCTTGCACAGTCACATCTAACCTCCAGGGTCAGCAGAACAAGAACCTGCCTTTCATATGCATGAAGCGGCATGTGCGTGTGTCCCTCACATTCCTGAGTAATAAGAACCAGTGATTGTCCCAAGGGGAGAAAGGAAAAAAGAAAAAAAAAAAAAAAAACACAAATTGACTCCTTTCTCCATACTCCATTTTTTTCCTCCTTTCTCAGCATTGCTTAGAGCAAGCACCATGCAGAGCAGAGATAACAGCTGACTGTCAGGTCAGCTTCCCCTGACCAGGAGACAGCAGCATCCAGCGAGAGGAAGGGAAGAGAAGAGGAGTGAGAGGGGATGTCACCAATACTTTTACCTTGTGAGGGGGGGCCTAAGTGGTGACAGCATGCAAAAGGAATGACTCAAGCACAAAGGTCAATCACACAGTTTTCAACATCCATCTCTGACACACTAATAACTACGGATCCAACACTACTTTTCCCTTACATACACCAAACAACTCACCTTTATTCATCCGTCCCATTACCGTAAATTCAAAATACTTGCTGTTATCAGCTGATGAATACAGACCAAATATGGTGGCTGTGCTCTTCGGCTGCAGTTTGAACGTTGACAGCAAGTACACTTCATTCAGCATAGGATCACCAAGTGCTTGTTGCAAGAAGTTCGTTACCACTCGCTTGTTGGAATACGGAAGAAGATCAAAAACTGAAAAATAAGCGAGTTTCAACAGCAATTTAAATATAATAATGACCAAAGAAGAATGTAGCCTGAAGCCACCCTTTGGAGATCGTACACTCTTCGCTATTTTCATACGGATACTTTAAAATGAACCCAAGTTGTCCTACCTAAAATAAATAATACGAAAACAAAAATTAACAATATGAAGATCATCTTTAAAGATCATCTAGTCCAACCTCCCTGGCATTGGAACGGACATCTTAAGCAACCTGATCTAGTGAAAGATGTCCCTGCCCATGGCAGGGGGGTTGGACTAGGTGATCTTTAGAAGTCCCTTCCAACCAAAACTATTCTATGATTCTATCAAATTATCATAAGGATTTCACTGCAACTGATCATCTTTTAGCACTTTTTTTTTTTAAAAGGAGTTATTGATAAGTTACAAACATAGAAATAGTTAGTCTTCAAATTGAGGTACTCAAATATTTTCAGGTAGATCTCCAAAATTCTTCTCTTCTGAAGATGCACCGCAACAGAAAGCTTTTTAGCCTATTTCTGCTTTCACAAATTCAGATGCTTGTGTTCACATTTCAACTAGACTGAGGATCCAGCATCAAAATTTTTAGACAGATTGCCAGTGTACTTATCCTAAGAACCATTTTGATGGCATTTGCACCAATTAAAATGCTAAAAAGCCAGGTAAGCAATATGATGTTCATAACCTCCTTCTCACTTCACTGACTTCTCTGAAGATATATTATGTAAATAAGACTCATCTTTCCCTTCTGGCACACATAAAAAAAGAAAGACAGGCCTGACAAAAAAAAATAACCCTGAAGGCATAGCAAAAGCTGTTTTAAATTTTTGTTTTAATATTTGCACAATGCATCAGCAAAGAGTCTAACATTATACTTGTACATATGTCAGCTATCCCCATTATGGCACTGAAACAACAAACTGGGGTTTTCCTCTCAATGTTCCTAAATCCATGATGCCTCCAAACTCAATAAACTATTCCACTAGCTTTCTTGATAACCTCCTATTTCAACCCCCTGCTATTAAAGCAGTATATATATTATACCCTTCCAATAAAGTCTGACAAATGACTATGCACAAGTGTTATTTAAATATAAGGGCGTATTTAGCCATTGTATACCACTGCCACTCCGTAGGCCTATCATAGCTGGGCCACATTTTTCTCCCACACCGGCACAATACTGTAGAGCTGCCACTGGAGAAGAGCCCTAACACCAGGCAGACAGCAAAGACATGACAGCACATTGTGCCTTACTTTGGTTCAAGCCCGTGATTGTATCACGTAGTTTAGTTTCCCAGGCCAAAAAACGGTGCACCTTTGCAGATGAGTCTTTTCTACCCAGCATGACCTCAAAGCTGTCATTGTCAACTAAGGTGATGGGGCCATCCTACCAATCCACTGTTTCCGTACGCTACAAGCAGGAGGAGACTGAGGAGCGCTCAGAAGACAGTCACATGGGCACACAGACCTACCCGCAGCCATGTGGGAAACCCTGTTCCCTTATATTAGAGCCTGGGTTCATGCTGCTTCCATTGCTCATTCTGGAGCATCCATTCATATAGACACACTTGGAAATGTCATTTCCAAAAAAGAAAAACGATGAGATTTTTCCCTTCATCTCATGAAACCATTGAAATACAGATCATCGCTTAAGTCTACACTTGTCAATGCAAGGTCCAAGGATCACATGACTCTACTGAGAGTTTTCAGAACACAATATAAAAAGAATCAGGCCCTTGATTTACATGCAGTTGTAATACTGTTGTCAAACAACTAAGAAACACATATCTAGATGGACCTGGTCAAAGAACTTCTCTTTCATTCAGTTCAGATTTACAGCATCCCTGGAAAACCACTGCTCCCACTGGAACCAGTGACCCACACAGCAGAGGCAAAAGGCTGGGTATTTCATCACATTTAGTACACAGACAGCAAAGCAATTGCCCAAGCAAGAGACTGAAATGCAACTCACTACTCTGTACAACAGCATTTTGCAGGTAATAATCATTCATAAAATACAGCTGTGTCTACTCAGTCGGAGCACCGCAATACAGTACTTAAGTCATTGACAGCACAAAATACAGTTATACAGTTTCTCCAGTCCTTCTCGGCCTATTGGCTGACTTTATATAAATTCCTGTGAGACTAATTAATCTCTGCTAGCGTCAAACACTTAACAATACAGGAGAAATATTATAAAAGTAATGACTAAACACTGGCAAACGTCTGTCTAACCTTACGGAAAATGTTTATTAAAATTTTTGAAATTTGCATATTTAAATGAATGCTCAACTCATTTGGTAGTTGCGTTCTATAAAGCACATTGCCTCAACTGGACCCTTCGGCACCATGTTATCAAACCCTCTCTTGGGATATCTTCACTGACCAGCATGTAGACACAGTACATGACCAGATCCACCCTTTACTGTAAAGTACACACATGCTAGCAAAAGTGGCTAGCAGAAGAGCAATGGGGTTATGAAAACTCATTTTACGCCCTTAGTAGAGTTGGCAGAGAGAGACAGCTCTTAGACCCTACAGAGACAATTGCTTGTTTGGAAGGAACAAGAAAAAGAGATCCACAAGGATTTCAGATTTCATTTTTAGAAGAATCTCATGGTTTTGTTCCTCTCCCTGGAAAGGCAGACTTCAAAACAAATGGATAGAAAAGGACTGCCGAAGCTGAAAGGCACAAGCAGCCAGTTTCAATCTGTGCAGAGTGAGGACTCAGGCATGCCTCCGAGCACGAGTGTGCATACTGACCGGGCTAAACCGAGCCCACTTGTGAGACGGACCAGGAATTCTCTCCCCCGCCTGCCTTCTGCTGTTTCTAGAAGGGAGCTGCTCACCCTCCGATGAAAATGCTAACAAGGGATCAGCCACACCTTGAGACAGTGGCAAACCACTCTTTGGAGATCTGCCCAAAACCATCAAGGCTAGCTCTTCAGATGGGAGCTAAAAGACATGACGGGAAGCCCTAAGAGGAGGAGGCATAGAGGAATGAAATTAGTGGCACAGGAGAGGACGGAGCTCAAAATAAAATACCCTTTATTTCCCTTAATTCTGCTGCCATGTCACACCAGCTTTTTGAGACCCTCCAAGGCTCTTCTCCGGTCACAGCTAACCATAATAACTGTAAATGTAAACACTGCTCCACCGTTCAGCACTTTTCAAGATAATTAATGATGGCTTAGACACCTGGAGTGAAACCCTAACCTCACTGCAGTGATTTCTGACTGACTGCAGGAAGGTGGAAATTTCACAGGTTTAGAGTGGGGTCTTTCATTGGTCACTGCCCCTGGCAAGCTGGAAATCTGCCTCTATTTTTTAAAACATGGCAATACCCTACCTCTGAATATGACAATTTTCTGAAATGTTTTTACATCAAGAAGGATACCTTTAACAAAGGCTTTTGGAAATGCAGTTAAATTAATCTGATTTGCTGTCTTTTATATCTGCTTCACTTAACTAAGGAATAATCGATTAAAATGTCAAACATAATTTCATAAGACAATGGAGGGGGTTACAAATGCAGAGAGAACCAGAAGCAGCTTTAAGGCTCCTGGAGTGGCACCGAGTTACACTAACTGCGGCACTCAGTAGCTGAGCTGGTTCCAGTCGCAAGCTGCTACTGGAGAGCGATACCACTCACTTTATGCATGCTCTAAAATAAAACAGCTCCTGATTTACTACATAATATTGTGCATAATATTGCCACAGTAATGCTGGATTTAGAAGGTACCTGTTTTCCTATGCCCTTTATGAAGTAGAGTTTTCCCGACAACTTTTCATAGCTTAGTAATTCACTTAGTTATGAGAATTTGCAACTGAAAAGTGCTCTTCAGACGTTCAACACAGCTACCAGCACCCCTGTAAGACCAGACCACTTTTCGCTGATTTTAGGCGGGGTGGCTGATGGAGCGCCTACACCGCCACCTCCTCCGGTCC